GATATGGGGGTCATTGGGGATGGGGGGATATGGGGGGCATCTTGTGGTGGGGGGGACATGGGGGTCATTGGGGATGGGGGGGTCATGGGGGGGATATGGGGGGGGACGTGGGGGTCATGGGGACATTGGGGATGGGGGGGATATGGGGGGTATCTGGGGTGGGGGGGACATGGGGGGCATGGGGACATTGGAGTCATGGATACATGGGGGTCATTGGGGATAGGGGGGACATGGGGGGTATCTGTGGGGGGGGACATGGGGCTCATGGGGCCATGGAGGGGAATTGGGGGGGGGCATTGGCACAAGGTGGGGCAATGGGGGGGGGACACATGTGGGGACCTGGGGGGGCCCCCAAGAACCCCCTGACCTCTGTGACCCCCACCCCCACCCCATAGATGGTCCGGAGACCCCACAGGAGAGGGGGCTCAGGTGGAGTTGGTTGCTCTCAGCCCAAGGTAGGGGGGCGAGGGGGCGGGGCTTGTGCTCCAAGGGGCGTGGTAATAGGGGGCGTGGCTTCGGGGCCAATCGGGAGGGGCCAGACTTGTAAAAGGGGCGTGTCTGTCATCGAGGGGGGGCCTATGGGGTTAATGGGGGCTCTATGGGGTCAATGAGGGATCTGTGGGGTCAATGGGGTCTATAAGGTCAATGGTGGCTCTATGGGGTCAATGGGGGGACCATAGGGTCAATGAGAGCTCTATGGGGTCAATAGGGTCTATAAGGTCAACGGTGGCTCTATGGGGTCACTGGGGGGGACCATAGGGTCAATGAGGGATCCATGGGGTCAATGGGGGGTCTATGGGGTCAATTGGGTCTCCATAGGATCAATGAGTACTCTATGAAGTCAATGGGGGGGTCTATGGGGTCAATGGGTGCTCTGTGGTTTGAATGAGGGCTCTATGGGGTCAATGAGGGGTCTATAGGGTCAATGAGGGCTCTATGGGGTCAATGGGGGGGTCTATGGTGTCATTGGGGCTCTATGGGGTCAATGTGAGATTCTATGGGGTCAATGGGGTCTCTATAGGGTCAATGGAGGCTCTATGGCATCAATGTTAGAGTTTATGGGGTCAATGGCGGCTCTAGGTGGTCAATGGACGCTCTAGGGGGTCAATGGACGCTCTATAGGGTCAACGGGGTCTCTATAGGTCAATGGAGGCTCTAGGGGGTCAATGGAGGCTCTATAGGGTCAACAGGGTCTCTGTAGGACAATGGAGGCTCTATGGGGTCAATGGACGCACTATGGGGTCAATGGGGTCTCTATAGGATCAATGGCGGCTCTAGGTGGTCAATGGACGCTCTAGGGGGTCAATGGACGCTCTATAGGGTCAACGGGGTCTCTATAGGGTCAATGGTGGCTCTAGGGGGTCAATGGACGCTCTATGGTGTCAATGGGGTCTCTATAGGTCAATGGAGCTGTAGGGGGTCAATGGACGCTCTATAGTGTCAACGGGGTCTCTATAGGACAATGGAGGCTCTAGGGGGTCAATGGACGCTCTATGGTGTCAATGGGGTCTCTATAGGTCAATGGAGCTGTAGGGGGTCAATGGATGCTCTATGGGGTCAACGGGGTCTCTATAGGTCAATGGAGGCTCTAGGGGGTCAATGGACGCTCTATGGGGTCAGTGGGGTCTCTATAGGTCAATGGAGGCTCTAGGGGGTCAATGGACGCTCTACGGAGTCAATGGGGTCTCTATAGGGTCAATGGCGGCTCTATGGGGTCAATGGACGCTCTATAGGGTCAACGGGGTCTCTATAGGTCAATGGAGGCTCTAGGGGTCAATGGACGCTCTATGGTGTCAATGGGGTCTCTATAGGTCAATGGAGCTGTAGGGGGTCAATGGATGCTCTATCGGGTCAACGGGGTCTCTATAGGTCAATGGAGGCTCTAGGGGGTCAATGGACACTCTATAGGGTCAACGGGGTCTCTATAGGTCAATGGAGGCTCTAGGGCGTCAATGGACGCTCTATGGGGTCAATGGGGTCTCTATAGGTCAGTGGAGGCTCTAGGGGGTCAATGGACGCTCTATAGGGTCAACGGGGTCTCTATAGGTCAATGGAGGCTCTAGGGGGTCAATGGACTCTCTATAGGGTCAACGGGGTCTCTATAGGTCAATGGAGGCTCTAGGGGGTCAATGGACGCTCTATGGGGTCAATGGGGTCTCTATAGGACAATGGAGGCTCTAGGGGGTCAATGGACGCTCTATGGTGTCAATGGGGTCTCTATAGGTCAATGGAGGCTCTAGGGGGTCAATGGACGCTCTATGGTGTCAATGGGGTCTCTATAGGTCAATGGAGCTGTAGGGGGTCAATGGACGCTCTATGGGGTCAATGGGGCGGTCTATATGCTCACCGAAGAGTTGGGTCGAGCTGTAGAAGGGGGCGTGTTTATGCGAAGGGTGTCGCCGTGCCGCTTCCCATATAGGGACAAGGAGGCGGGGCCAGGCTAGGCGTTGTGACCCCGCCCCCTTTGTTGTGTCTTGCAGGCACCGCGCGTGGGTCGACGCCTGCGCCCGCCTCTTTGGGGGGGTCGACATCTGTGGGGTGGAAGCGCTGCGGGGCCCTGATGGGCGCGAGCTCATCGTGCAGGTCAGCACCAAGGACAGCGCTCGGTCCCGTTCACCCCACATCCGAGCCCCTTGGAATTGGGGGGTAACACCCACCCCCCCCCCCCCCCAAACCCCATATAAGGGTCACCCCCACATCTGACCCATCTCGCCCCACATCCCATCGCAGGTTTTGGGGTCCTGGTTGCCATTGGTGGGGCCGGGGGCGGCTGAGGACCGGGGCCGCATCGTGGAGCTGGTGCTGAGCAGGATGCGAGCGGAGCTGCCCCGACCCCGCAGCCCTTCCCCTGCCAGGCTGCGGCCTCAGGTAACCCCCCCACCACCAGCGCCCCACAAGTCCCTCTTGGCGCCCCATAAGTCCCCATTGAGCTCCTTGACATCGACAGGACCCCCCCCCCCCCAAAGTCTTCCTATGGGGTCCTGACCCACTCCTCCTCTTTCTGCCCCATAGATGTCAGTGACCCAGCAGCGACCCCCACCCCAAGGTGAGTGACCCCTCCCTCCGTCCGCCCCCCCAAAAAACCCCATGGGGGTCCCCAAAAAAACATGGGACACCCCAAAAAGCACCCATTGCACCCATGGCACCCCCTAATTGACCCCTCCTAAGCCTCTCCCTTGCCCCCATTGTAGACACCCCATAATTGGGTGCCCCCCCATAAGCCCCGCCCCTTTTAAGCCCCGTCCCATTTAAGCCCCGCCCCTTTTAAGTCCCATCCCGATGAGCCCCGCCATCTTAAGTCCCGCCCCTTTTAAGCCCCCACTTTAAGCCCTGCCCCTTTTAAGCCCCGCCCCTTCAAGTCCCATCCCGATGAGCCCCGCCTTCTTAAGCCCCGCCGCTTTTAAGCCCCGCCTCTTTTAAGCACTGCCCCTTCAACGTCCTATCCCGTTAAGCCCCGCCCCTTTTAAGTCCCACCCCGATAAGCCCCGCCCCCTTTAAGCCCGGCCCCTTAAAGCTCTCCGCCCTTTAAGCCCCGCCCCCTCTCAAGCCCCGCCCCCCCCGCGCTGTTTCTTTCCCTTCACAGGGGCTCCACCGCCGTCTGGCCCCGCCCAGCCCCGCCCACAGCCGCAGGGGCAGCCCCGCCCACCTGGGGGCGTGACCTCCCCACGCTCCGCCTCCCCTGGCCCCGCCTCGCCGCGAGGCCCCGCCCAGCCCCGCCCCCAGACCCCGCCCACTTCCCCGCAGCCGCGCCCTCAGACGCCTCCGCCTGCCGCGCAGCCCCGCCCACAAACCCCGCCCATTGCTCAGCCCCGCCCCCAAACCCCGCCCGCTGCTCAGCCCCGCCCCCAAACCCCGCCCACTGCTCAGCCCCGCCCTCAAGCCTCGCCCACTGCTCAGCCCCGCCCCCAAGCCCCGCCCACTGCTCAGCCCCGCCCTCAAGCTCCCGCCACTTCCCCCCAACCCCGCTCCCAGGCTCCGCCCACTGCGCAGCCCCGCCCCCAAGCCCCGCCTACTTCCCCGCAGCCCCGCTCTCAAGCCCCACCCACTGCACAACCCCGCCCTCAAGCCCCGCCCACCTCCCCTCAGCCCCGCCCTCAAGCCCCGCCCCTTGCGCAGCCCCGCCCCCAGGGCCCTCCCACTTCTCAGCCCCGCCCTCAAGCCCCGCCCACCTCCCCTCAACCCCGCCCCCCGGGCCCGCAGGCCCCGCCCACCACGCGCCAGCCCCGCCCCCAAGCCCCGCCCCTTGCCCCCAAACCAGCTCTGGCTCCTAAACCGGGCACAGCCCAGCCCCCCAGGGAAGGGAAGGGGGGGGGGGGGGGGAGGGGTGGGCGGGGCTTACAGCTTGGCCCCGCCCCTAACCCCGCCCCTTTCCTCCCCTCTAGCCCCACCCCCGAGCAGGGGGGTCCCGAGGGGCTCCGGTCCCTGCGGCAGAGCTTCGCCTCCCTCTTCACCGACTAAAGGGGGGGCTCCATCGCCCCCCACATCCCCCCCATATCCCCCCTATATCCCCCCTATATCCCCCCTATATCCCCCCCACATCCCCCCCCATATCCCCCCCCATATCCCCTATAGAGCCTGGGGTCACCCTTCGCCCCCCCAACTCCTCCTCGCGTGCCCCATAAGCCCCGCCCCCCCCGGAGGAGGGGGAGGGCGCAGTGACGTGATGGTGACGTTTGTGCTCGTGACTGTGCGTAAGCCCCGCCCACGGTGTAAGCTCCGCCCCCCCCCCTCCGACCCCGATGTGTGTGGTGGGGGGGGGCAATAAAGGCCCAGAGCCGCTGCTGTGTTACTTGATGGGTGCTATGGGGCTGGGGGGGTTGGACCCTATAGATAGATATAGGGGAGCCTATTGGTGTGTATGGGGGGGTTGGACCCTATAGGTACATATAGGGGAGCCTATTAATGTGTATGGGGGGGGTTGGACCCTATAGATAGATATAGGGGAGCCTATTGGTATGTATGGGGGGGGTTGGACCCTATAGAATGGGGTATCGAGGTATGGGTCCTATAGGGGAGGGGGGGCTATAGAGTGTGGAAGTGGGCTGTGGACCCTATAGAGCATAGGGTACCTTATAGAGCCTGGAATGGGGGCTATAGACCCTATAGAGCCTAGGGGACCCTATAGAGCATAGGAGACCCTATAGAGCCTGGAGGGGGGCTATGGATCCTATAGAGCGTAGGGGACCCTATAGAGATTGGAGAGGGGCTATGGACCCTATAGAGCATAGGGGACCCTATAGAGATTGGAGAGGGGCTATGGACCCTATAGAGCATAGGAGACCCTATAGAGCCTGGAGGGGGGCTATGGATCCTATAGAGCGTAGGGGACCCTATAGAGATTGGAGAGGGGCTATGGATCCTATAGAGCATAGGGGACCCTATAGAGCCAGGACAGGGGCTATGGACCCTATAGAGCCTGGAGGGGGGCTATGGACCCTATAGAGCCTGGAGGGGGGCTATGGACCCTATAGAGCCTGGAGGGGGCTATGGATCCTATAGAGCATAGGGGACCCTATAGAGCCTGGAGGGGAGCTATGGACCCTATAGAGCATTTAGGGACCCTACAGCGCATATATGGACCCTATAGAGCACCATATAGGTGCCTATAGTGGCACCTATAGAGCCGAGGGGGGGAGTTATGGAACCCATAAAACAAGGGGTCCCCCATAGAACAAGGGGGGCCCCATAGAACAAGGGTGGCCCCATAGAACAAGGGTGGCCCCTATATAGCCTATTGTGGGGTGCCCTATAGATCTTGCAGCGCCCCTATGGAGGTGCCTATAGACCCGAGGTGCACGGTCCCTTTAAGGGGGGGGGTGGGGCGGGAACGACAGGCTCCTCCCTCCGCGCGCGCGCGCGCCGATGACGCACACACCCCCCACCCCATTTGGCTCCGCCCCCGGCGGCGCGATGACGTCACGGCGGCGATGGCGGCGGCGGAGAAGGCGCAGCGCTACGAGGCGTTCGTCAGCGACGTGCTGCAGCGCGACCTCCGGTGGGTGACGTCAGCGCGTAGCGGCCACGCCCCCTCACGCCCCATCCACACACCCCCCCCTTTGCCCCCCCTTTACCCCCCCCCGTTCGCTGTTACGGCCACGCCCCCTTCCTTGGCCACGCCTCCTCTCTGGCATCGGCCACGCCCTCTGCGCCTCAGCCCCGCCTACACGGGGCTCGGCCACGCCCCTTTGTTGCGACCACGTGTCCTCCAGGGGCAACGCTTATTCGTTGGCCACGCCCCCCTTTGCCGCAGCCCCGCCCCCTCCGCGGGGCTGACCACGCCCCTCCTCATTGAGCCCCTCCCACTCTTCCTCATCTTGGCCACGCCCTTTTGTCGCGACCACGCCTCCCCATTGGCCACGCCCCCCATCACTGCACCGCCTCCACATGCTGGCCACGCCCCTACCCTATTGAGCCCCGCCCACTCTGCCCCCCGGCCACGCCCCTTTGCTGTAACGCCTTCTCATTGGCCACGGCCATTCATTGGTCACCCCCATTCATTTGCCACGCCCCCTCTGTCACGGCCCCACCTCCACATGCTGGCCACACCCCTACCCCATTGAGCCCCTCCCACTCTGCCCCTTGTCCACGCCCCTTTGCCGTGACCACGCCTCCTCATTGGCCACGCCCCCTCCATCACTGCCCCACCTCCACGTGCTGCCCACCCCCCTACCCCATTGAGCCCCTCCCACTCTACCCCTTGGCTCCGCCCCTTTACCGAGACCTCGCCTCCTCATTGGTCACCATCATCGGTTCGGCCACGCCCCCTTCCATCGTGGCCACGCCCCCTTGCCCCACAGGCGGGTGCAGGAGCAGCGGGACGAGGTCTTCGAGCAGCAGGCGCAGGTGCTGCAGCTCCGGACGGCCCTGACCCGCCTGCAGGTGTGGGGCCTATAGGGCAGGGGGCGGAGCCTATAGGGCAGGGGGAGGAGCCTATAGGGTGTGGGGCCCGGGGGGGGGTATTGGGAGCTATAGGAAGGGGGTATGGGGTGAAATGGGTGGGGTTGGGGGGTGTTTGGGGATGGATAGAAAGGCTCAAGTGGGGGGGATTTGGGGGTTCGAGGGGGGATATGGGGGTCCAAGGAGGGGCTATGGGGGGATATGGGGGTCCAAGGAGGGGCTATGGGGGGATATGGGGGTCCAAGGAGGGGCTATGGGGGTCCAAGAAGGGGATATGGGGGTCCAAGGAGGGGCTATGGGGGGCTATGGGGGGGCAGGGGCTATGGGGGGCAGGGGTTTTGGGGGCCTATGGGGGTGCAGGGGCTATGGGGGGCTATGGGAGTCCAAGGAGGGGATATGTGGGGATGTCCAAGGAGGGGCTATGGGGGTCCAAGAAGGGGATATGGGGGTCCAAGGAGGGGCTATGGGGGGCTATGGGGGTCCAAGGAGGGGATATGTGGGGATATGGGGGTCCAAGGAGGGGCTATGGGGGGATATGGGGGTCCAAGGAGGGGCTATGGGGGGATATGGGGGTCCAAGGAGGGGATATGTGGGGATATGGGAGTCCAAGGAGGGGATATGGGGGGATATGGGGGTACAAGGAGGGGCTATGGGGGGCTATGGGGGTCCAAGGAGGGGATATGTGGGGATATGGGAGTCCAAGGAGGGGATATGGGGGGATATGGGGGTACAAGGAAGGGCTGTGGGGGTCCAAGGAGGGGCTATGGGGTCCAAGGAGGGGCTATGGGGGGATATGGGGGTCCAAGGAGGGGCTATGTGGGGATATGGGGGTCCAAGGAGGGGCTATGGGGGTCCAAGGAGGGGCTATTGGCGGATATGGGGGTCCAAGGAGGGGCTATGGGGGGCTATGGGGGTCCAAGGAGGGGCTATGGGGGTCCAAGGAGGGGCTATTGGCGGATATGGGGGTCCAAGGAGGGGCTATGGGGGGCTATGGGGGTCCAAGGAGGGTCTATGGGGTGCTGAGACCCTCTGCAGGAGGCCCCCACCCCTCTGCGCACCCAAGTCGACCTCGGCTGCAACTTCTTTGTCACGGCTGAAGTGTGAGTATGGGGAGATATGGGGTCCCCCAAAACCCCCCCCGGGACCCCCAACCCCCTCTGGACCCCCAACCCCCTCCTTAAGGACCCTTTGGACCCCCCCCTTCTCCCCATTACCCTCCCATTGCCCCCATCACCTCCCCACATCCACCCAGCTGACCCCCAACCAGACCCCATACCCCCCCCCCCCCCACCATGGGACCCCTATTGAGACCCCCAAGGACCCCCCTATCTCACTGGGGCGCCCCATATCCCCCCCCCAGCCCCACTGCGGAGCGAGTCTTCGTGGCGCTGGGCTATGGGTTCTACGCGGAGCTGACCCTGCCCGAGGCCCTTCGACACCTCGACCGCCGCAGCCGCCGCCTGGAGCAGTAAGACACGCCCCCTATGGGGCTGGCCACGCCCCCCTTCCATGGGGCTGGCCACGCCCCCTCCATCTTGGCCACGCCTCCCCCCCCCCCCCCCCGTCCAAAAGGCTGCCTCCCATAGGAAGTAATTGAGCTGCAAAGCCACGCCCCCTCCCGTTGAGGCCACGCCCCCTTTGTCGAGGTCACGCCTCCCTCTGCATTGACCACGCCCCCTCCATAAAGCTGCTGCCATTGCCATGAATTGACCCGGATGCCACGCCCCCTGCCAAGGCCACGCCCCCACTCCCCATTGGCTGATGGAAGCCCCTCCCATTCTCGGGACACACCCACTCAAAAAACCACTTCCACTTGTCCTTAGCCCCGCCCCCTCAAAAAACCACACCCACACCAAGCCAAGCCACGCCCACATCACCATAAAAGGAAAGCAAAGCAGGGCAAGCCCCCCCGCGGCCCCACCCATGTGGGAGGCTCCACCCCCCCCCTTGAAGCCACGCCCACCCCCCCCCAGGCTCAGCGAATCCCTGACGCGGGACGGGGCCAAGATCCGGGCTCACATCCGGTTGGTGCTGGAGGTAATGGGAATGCTGGGAGTGGGAGGGGCCTCGTCCCTGGCCCCACCCCCCGGTGACTCCTCCCCGCCCCCCCATCAGGGTCTACGGGAGCTCCAGGGTCTCCAGGACCCCCCCACAACCTCTGACCCCTGACGTCATCAGGCCACACCCACTGCATCCTCTTACATGTGTAACCCTGGAGTAACACGTGTGTGACCATGGAGTAACACGTGTGTAACCCAGAGTAACACGTGTGTAACCATGGAGTAACACATGTGTAACCTCGGAGTAACACGTATGTGACCATGGAGTAACACGTGTGTAACCCAGAGTAACACGTGTGTGACCATGGAGTAACACATGTGTAACCCTGGAGTAACACGTGTGTAACCATGGAGGAACATGTGTGTAACCCCAGAGTAACATGTGTAACCCCGGAGGAACACGTGTGTAACCATGGAGGAACATGTGTGTAACCCCAGAGTAACACGTGTAACCCCGGAGGAACACGTGTGTAACCATGGAGGAACATGTGTGTAACCCCAGAGTAACACGTGTGTCACCATGGAGGAACATGTGTGTAACCATGGAGTAACACGTGTGTAACCCCGGAGTAACACGCGTGTAACCATGGAGTAACACGCGTGTAGCCCCAGAGTAACACATGTGTAACCCCAGAGTAACACGCATGTAACCCCAGAGTAACGTGTGTAACCATGGAGTAACACGCATGTAACCATGGAGTAACATGTGTGTAACCCCAGAGTAACACGTGTGCAACCCCGGAGAAACGTGTAACCATGGAATAACACGTGTGTAACCTTGGAGTAACACGCGTGTAACCACAGAGTAACACGTGTATCCACAGACTATCGCGTAACCACAGAGTAACACGTGTAACCATGGAGTGACACGCACGTAACTACTGAGTAACACGTGTGTAGCCATGGAGTAACACGCGTGTAACCATGGAGTGACACATGTGTAACCCAGGAGTAGCACATCTGCAACTATGGAGTAACACATGTCTAACCATGGAGTAACACATGTCTAACCTCAGAGTAACACACGTGTAAACATGGAGTAACATGTATGTAACCCTGGAGTGATGAATAGATGAAGCTGGAGTAAACCATGTGTAAGCCTGGAGTAACTGAGTGTGTAACCCTGATGTGACATGGAGTGAAGTGTGTGTAAACTGGAGTAAAGCCTTTGTAAGCCTGGAGTAAGTGTGTAACCCTGCTGTAACGTGTTTAAACCCGGAGTAAAACGGGTGTAAACCCAAGTAGCGAGCGTGTCCTGAGTAAAGCACGTGTAAACATGGAGTAATGTGTGTGTAAGGCTGGAGGAACAGAGGGATAAAGGGCATGTGGGGTGTGCAACTCGATGCATTTAAACCCGGAGTAAAGCGGGTGTAAACCTGGAGTAAGGCACTGGGGAGTCCATGAGTAAACCCTGAGGAACCTAAGAGGATCGATGGCAGGGGGGATCCTATTTGGAGTAACCAATGAGCAATGAGTAAACCCTGAGCAACCAATGAGGATCCATCACAGGGATGATCCTATTTGGAGTAAGCAATGAGTAAAGCCTAAGCAACCAATGAGGGCCGATCCCAGGGATAATCCTGTTGGTAGCTTTGGAGTAACCAATGAGCAATGAGTAAAGCCTGAGCAACCAATGAGGATCCATCCCACGGATGATCTTACTGGTCACTTTGGAGTAACCAATGAGCAATGAGTAAACCCTGAGCAACCAATGAGAATCCATCCAAGGGTTGATCTTACTGGTCACTTTGGAGTAACCAATGAGCAATGAGTAAAGCCTGAGCAACCAATGAGGATCCATCCCACGGATGATCTTACTGGTCACTTTGGAGTAACCAATGAGCAATGAGTAAACCCTGAGCAACCAATGAGGATCCATCCAGGGATGCTCTTACTGGTCACTTTGGAGTAACCAATGAGCAATGAGTAAACCCTGAGCAACCAATGAGGATCCATCCCACGGATGATGCTATTTGGAGTAACCAATGATCAATGAGTAAGCCCTGAGCAACCAATGAGGATCCATCCCAGGGGTGATCTTACTGGTCACTTTGGAGTAACCAATGAGCAATGAGTAAACCCTGAGCAACCAATGAGGATCCATCCCAGGGATGATCTTACTGGTCAGTTTGGAGTAACCAATGAGCAATGAGTAAAGCCTGAGTAACCAATGAGGATCCATCCCAGGGATGATCCTATTGGTAGCTCTGGAGTAACCAATGAGCAATGCCTGAGCAACCAATGAGGATTGATCCCAGGGATGATGCTATTTGGAGTAGCCAATGAGCACCCCCACACTACACCCCCCCCCCCCCCCCCCAAAAAAAAGGGGGCGGGTCCTATTTTGGGATGCCCCTCCCCTCCACCCCCCATTGGGCGTGTCTAGAGGCGAGGCGTGGCTTCCTATTGGGTGATCGGGAGCCCTGACGTCATTCCAGTCCTCTCCCCATTGGCCCACGAACGGAGGGGGGGGGGGGGGGAAAGCGTCTGTGGGCGTGTCCTCCCTCCTCCGTCGCCACGCCCCGTGCGTCCTGACGTCACCCGGGCCCCTCCCCTCCGTCCGCCATCTTGCTCCGCCGCCGCCGCCGCTTCTCGCCCGGCCCGGCCCGGCCCGGCCCGGTTCCCCCCCCCCGGAGCCGCCCGCGGGGTCGGGCCCGGCCCCGCCATGGCCGAGGACTTCTGGGAGGCCCCGCGGCGCTGAGCCGGTAACGGCAGAACCCCCCCCCCCCCCCCTTAACCCTCACTGTGGTATCGCCCTCATCGGGGGGGGGGGGGAGTGCGGAGACCACGCCCCTTTTGGCTCCGCCCATTGTGGTTGGGGGGGGTAGAAGGAGTTTGGGGTAATGGGGTGATCCCATGTGTGCCCCCCCTCCCCCCTTTTAGACCCCCCTCTCACTGTGGTATTGCCCTGATAAGGGGTGGGGGGGAGTGCGGAGACCACGCCCCTTTTGGCTCCACCCATTGTGGTTGGGGGGTAGAAGGAGTTTGGGGTAATGGGGTGAC